GTGAGGGCCCTTAGAGTGGCATCATTGCCTCATATCTGTGTTTGACACAGGTGGCCCAGGAGCAGGCAGGTGGGGCCATGCCTCTCCAAGGGGCTCTCTGCAGCAGTACAGAAGTGAGGTAGACATGCCCTTAGACACCTTTTGTTTCATCCATATTCTGTATCCAGTGCTGGATGCTAGTGCTGGCCACACTGACCTGCCCTAGCACCTGGTGAGTAGCTCTTGGCATTCAGGTTGTTTCACCACAGCCCTCAGAGACAGGCAGGGAGTCAAGCCCCTCCACCTTGTAGTGTCTGGCTTGAGATACCTGAAAGAGCCTTTATTTTTAAACATGGATCCTCTTTCTGACAATCAGATCCTTTCCAGTGCTCAGCCTGGGCTCCAAAGAGCACCTGCCTGTTTGGAGGACCTTGGCATACAGATACACAGCATAGCCCCATAACAGAGCTGTCTCCCCAGGCACAGGAGTGGCACCTTCTCTCAGGAAGCTTGTCCTGTGCTCCCTTATCCACAGACGCTCGGGCAATGAATGGTTCCTCGCTGTTTATGACGTCCTCCTGATAGTTCCTCTCCTTCTTCCTGCGTTTCAGAGGCCTCCCATGTCAAGCCCAGCCCCCAGAACTTCACCTCAGACTCTGACCTCATGAAGTACCGCACCATCAGCCAGATCCCCCAGTTCACCCTCAACTTTGTGGAGTTCAACCTGGAGAAGCATCGCTCGGGCTCCACCACAGAGATTGAAATCATCGCACCCCACAAGGTGACGGAGCGCACCCAGAACGTCACCGAGAAAGTCACGCAGGTAGGTGTAGGGTGGGAAAATGGAAAGAGGACTCTCTACAGACCTGGGGCTGTGCCCTCCCTCCCCCCAGAGTTGGGAGGATGGTTAGGCTAATCCATGAAGCGGGCTGGGGATGGGAGAAAGGGAATTGCTGGTTGCACTAATTGGCAGAGATGATCAGAAATCATCTCATGTGGGAGTGGTGATTTGTTCCCTGGAGCGGGAATACTGGTGTGTCTTAGCTTTTTCATTTGTTTTCAGAAGGAATTGGGTAAAAAAAAAAAAAAGAAATATCATTTTGGGGGAGAACTGAAAATTTTTGGAAAATTCTTGTTCAGAAATTGGATTCAGTGAAAGGTATTTTGAGCATATCACACTGTTTCCCTCTGAGGGTCACATAGTCTCATGGAAACAAATTCTGGCATCTCACATCCTCATTTTCCTCTTTGCTAAACCTCAGCTGGGGTGAAACAACAGTGTCACTGAGGCTTTGTCTGATTTGCACCAAATGCAGATCTGTGTCTTGTTGATTACTCATGACATCACAGCCCTTTCCATGCACCAAAGCCTTTCCATCACTGCAGTGAGAAGTAGCTTTTCTAAGATGAAAAGCCTCTTTCATTTGCTAACAGGAATCCAAAGTGAATGGGGAAGAGTGTGTGAGTGTCTGTATTATATGTGCTTCATAGATGTTCCTATGAATTATCTTGGATTGATTGATTTTTGCGAGCTGTCAGATGTGCCAAGACTCAGAGGGCTTTTATACACGTGCTCTGGGAGTGTGCGGGGGGGATGTTTTCATAGTTTCATAGTTTGTAGGGTCAGAAGGGACCTGAGCAGATCATCTAGTCTGACCCCCTGCCATGGCAGGAAAGAGTACTAGGGTCAAACAACCCCAGCAAGGTGTACATCTAGCCTTCTCTTAAAGACCCCCAGGGTAGGAGCCAGCACCACTTCTCTTGGAAGTTGGTTCCAGATCCACGGCCGCCCTGACTGTGAAGTAGCACCTCCTGATATCTAGCCTAAATCTACCCTCTGCCAGCTTGTGACCATTATTCCTGGTCACTCCTGGTAGTGCTCGGGGGAATGGGGACTTCCCCAGTGCCTGCTGGTCCCCTCTGACTAGTTTGTAACAGGCCACTAGATCCCCCCTCAGCCTTCTCTTGTGGAGGCTGAACAGGTTCATTAGAGTGGCTTTGAGAACCATGCTAATTAAAGGGCCTGGAGCATCTCATGTATCAGCGTCCCAATGCTGAAAAATGGTGGTGGTGACGCTTTAACTAAAGCTCATCAGATGAGCTTTAGTTAAAGCATCCCTGCACTATTTTTCAATTCAGGGACGCTGAGACACAAGACGCTGGAGTCTGCTGGAGCACAGTACTTACTGTGCTCCAGCAGACTTGATTAATCAAGTCTTCTGCAGCGTGCTATAATTACAGTGCGTCAGAGCAGTCTTGCTGCCCAGGGTGTTCTTCTGCCAGTCTCCAAGGGGAGCAGGAAACATGCCACCCTTTTTGCATGACTTCTTGTCCTTGCAGTGGTAGGATATAGACAGTGCCCTTGTTCCCCTGCTTTACTTTTGGCAAGTTAAAGGGTGATTTTGATGTTTTGTGCATGATGCTTGGTAGGTTTTTTTGAGGGTGGTGCCTGAAGTATTTAAGAACAGGTTAGAGAAGCACTTAACTAGGTTGGCTTCAGAGCTGATCCTGTCTTGAACCAGCGGTTGGAGAAGGTAACCTCCTAAGGGACCTTCCAGCTCTACTTTTCTGTGTTTCCATAACTGTTCACTGATGTCACTATAAAAGACACCCTCATCCTCAGCCACCCATTGGAGGCCAAGTTCGTGTATACAGTGCTATGGGGGCCTCCCCTCTGGGCTTTGTGAGCTGGAGGCAATCCATGACAGCAAAGCTGCTGAGTGTTCCTGCAGATGCCACCAGGTGGCAGTGTCCCCTCACTAAGTGGGATGCCAGAAGGCTTTCCATTTTCTGGGCTCCTTGGGTGGGAAACATGGGGTGGCTGGGGGCCAGCAGGGTAAGAGTTAGGCATCTGTTCCTGGGGCTCCTGGCAGGCAGGAGCCCCGCTATGTTCCAGAGAGCAGAAATAAATACACTAAACTGAGAGACCACATCCCAAGCATGCATGAGGTTCAGCACCCATCTGCAAGGGCTCTTGCTCCAGCGCACAGGCATAGATTGATCGGCACGGACAACCCCTTGTCCTGTGCTCCTCTGGACCCGACCCTCCTGCAGGCTTTCATGGAGTGCAGAAGATAAGAACTGCAGGGCTGGGTGTTGAAGAGGTACCAGGAAGAAGCAGAGAGGGGGCTGGAGCTATCTAGCCCACAAAGGGCAGAACAGTTCTGGAGGTTTTTCCTAGGGCACCCTGGTCTGCTGCCCAGGGCAGGAAGCACACAGGAAACCTGACCCTGGGTGGGAGGTGGCAGTCAGGCCCTTAGATCATTGGTGTGCATGCACAGGAATGGAAGGAGATCCCTGCAGCCTCTTCTCACCCTCTGGCTTACACATGCTTACAGGATTGTGCCCTGGGTCTGGTCTCAAGAAAGTCTGTGGCAGGGGCGGGCAAAATGCGGCCCACGGGCTGGATGCAGCCCACCAGGCCATTCTATCTAGCCTGCAGGGACTCTAAAAAATTTAGAAAATTAATATTTATCTGCCCCTGCCTGCCTGTCATGAGGCCCTCGATGGCTTGCCAAAACTCAGTAAGCAGCCCTCTGCTCGAAATAATTGCCCACCCCTGATCTATGAGGTTCATGCTCCTGTAAGATGCTGGGCAGGTTCTGTGTCATAAGGGTCCCTGGGTTGGTGACACAGTGGATATTGAACATTTGCTTGCAGGAGATCCCAGCTTGTTCTCCTTGCTTATTTCTAGGTAAGAGAGAGCAGGACCTGGCATGGCCCAAGACAAGCCAAAGCATCCTGTCTCACCTTGCACTGGGGCTGGTGGAAAACTTGAGCTAGATCTTTGGGGACTGTGAGGGAAGGATCGTCAGAGCTCTAGCCTGGAACATAAGGGAAAGGGGATCCGGGCAAAAGAACAGGAAGTGGAACCTTCCCAAATCCCAACACAACTCTCACCTGGTTCTGAAACGTTAGGCAGGGACTTCTGCTTTGGGATCCTCCAGCAGGGGGCATATCACTACCATGTGGGGTAGCAGCTCCACTGGGCTTCCCTGAGGACAGGAGAGGGGATGGTAGATTTTGCTATTGCATCTCAAAGCTGACAGCCCTTCACCCCTCATGACAGCCATTCCCACTCTAGATCAGAGCCATAGGGAGGAGAAACAGCTAGTGGGAAGGGAATTCAATCTAAATCCCAATCCTGCTCAAATCAATAACCAAGTCCCACTTTGCCCTGAATACAGGAAATGTTATGCTGTCCTGTAAGGAGGCCCATCCTCTTTGGGAGGCAAAAATCCATCAGCTGACTGGTGCTAGTTTCTGAAGGGGAAGCTTCAGTGGTGTGCTACAGAGCCATGCAATAATGTGTGCTAGAGGCGACCACCCAAACAGAGGTCAGCAGTGTCTGGCCTCAAGTAATGGGGCTCTTGATTGTACCTCCATAATATTTGTCTTTCCCATTCCAGGCTCTGAGTGGCCCTTCTGCCCATCAGCTCCCTTACCCTTCTTGCCCCCAATTGACACAGCAGGTATTTTTCTTCTGGTTTTAGAGCTGAGGAAACTGAGGCACAGAGAGGACTGAGGGAGGTGTCCTTCACAGATCAAGCAACAGAGCCCAGATCTAAAGGCAGTACAGTTAGGGCAAGTCTAAGGAAGCCTTCTGGATCCTGTTTACCTGTGGAACTCCCTGCTGCAGGACTAAGGTTAATAGCCCAGCTGTTCCCAAATAGGGACTAATCACAGATTGGAATAACCATTTCAGTGACATTAGTCAGTGTGTGGCTAATGGGTGTGAGGTATGCCACAGCTGTTGATTCCCAGTCTTCAGGCCCCCTTCCTCTCCAAGAGCTACAGGCTGCTGTGGGACAAATGCAGGTTCAGAAGCTGGCATGGAAGAGTAAAAGTTTTAAAAGCTTTCCCTGAGGAAACTGTGCTTGTAACTGAGCTGAGGAACAAGTGTGTAAGAAATGCTGGGGCAAACTGGGACAGGGGAGAGTGAAAGCAGGGGTAGCTCTGGGGCAGGGGAGGGAGCATGGGAATAACTGTGGCTCATGGCTGTGTCCCAGCAGGCTGCTGTTTATTGTTGACCATGGTCCTGGCATCACAAAAGAGCATTTCACCCAAGGGCCTTGCCACACTTTGCATTCTTTGCCCCAAGTTCCTTGAGGCAGAGACCAGCCCTTCTGAAAGGCACCTACTGTATCACCAGTGCTCACCCATGCAGATAGATCCTAATAAAGTCCATCAGCAGTATTAATCCACTTTACAGACAGAGACACTGTGGCAAAGGATGAGCTAGGGCCTTGCCTAAAGTTATTCCAGGAGATGCTGACTAAGCCAGGATTTGGACTCATGGGGCATTTATACATGTACCTTTTTCATAGATTTTAGGGTCGGAAGAGACCTATTAGATCATCGAGTCTGACCTCCTGCCCTGGGCAGGAAAGAGTGCTGGGGTCAGATAACCCCAGGCAGGCATTTGTCCAATCTCCTCTTAAATATCTCCAAGGAAAGGGACAGCACCATCTCCCTTAGAAGCATATTCCATATTTTGGCAACCTTCACTGTAAAGAATTTTTTCCTAATGTCCAATCTAAATTTGCTCTCCTTCAGTTTGTGGCCATTGTTTCTAGTTACCCCGATGGGCGCCCTGGGAAACATTGTGTTCCCTATTTTCTGCTGTCCCCCACAATGAGTTTGTAGACAGCCACAAGATCACCTCTCAGCCTTCTCTTGTGGAGGCTGAAGAGATTCAGGTCCCTCAATCGGTCCTTGTAGGGTTTTTTCTGTAGGCCTTTAACCAGACGGGTGGCCCTCCTCTGAACCCTTTCCAGGTTATCTACATCCCTCCTGAAGTGCAGCACCCAAAACTGGATGCAG